AATAAACTTAAAAAAAAGAAAAGTAAAAATATTAAAATAAAAATACTCAAAACCATGAAACCGATTTTTAAAAAGATAATGAAAGATCATCACTTATATGGATTTCATAGATTAAAGTTGAATTTAATCATATTGGAATATTTTTTTTTCCATGAAATTGGTTTCATTGCAGTGTTTCTTTTTGACCTAATTCCAATTTTAAATGTTTTTTTGAAATATTTTTTTGACTTCATGATTTTATTATTTATTTTGTATTTCTTTTGCTTATAATTTAATGTGCTTTAAATAATGGGGGTGGTGATGGTGCAGTGGTTAAGGCACATACCTTTGGTGTGAGGGACTCGGGTTCGAATCCACTGTGAGACACCAATGTGTCCCTGCAAGACACTTAACCCCTAGTTGCTCCAGAGGCGTGCGACCTCTGATATATAGCAATTGTAAGTCGCTTTGGATAAAAGGGTCAGCTAAATGAATAAATGTAAAATGTAAATGCTTGTAGATGAGCACATGCAGAAAAAAAACTCCAATTCGTCCAGGGTGTTCAGAGCATTATAAATCAGTGATGCAGAACGTTTGGTGCTGTAAAACCTGAGCAGGTTCTTAAACTGCATATTTTGCATGTGAGTGAATGACACAGTCACTCTCCAGAACTTTATCTGATCAGTAGTCAGTGCCAATCTGCTCTGAGAATCTCAAACTAGCGGCAGACAATGAACATATGACCAAACAGAGAATGAAATGGCTATTCACAGAGGAATGTGTAAAGACAGCCAGTCTTATCAGTCAGCCCATCAGCAGGGACTGCAGACTCGATTGCAAAGAATAGAATTCCTACTGATAAAAGGGGAGTAAAACTGCCCAGAGATGTTCCTGTCAGGAGTTGTCAACGGCTGTAACTCAAACAAAGTTCTGTTATTTCTATTATTCAAGTGTTTAACTATGTACACAAAAGACACACATACGTGAAAAAGCACCATGCAATGAAAAGAGAATTCTTTCTCTCTTATCAACATTTCTGAAAAGGTCAGTAAATACAGTAAAATAGTAGTTTACTTTAATAAAGAGGCATAAAAACACATGATGGAAATCCAGTTCTCTTACAGAGTTCTCTGAATTTTCACATTGCTTTGGACACCTGAAAAGCTCTTCTATCATCTTATTGAATCAGTAGTGTTTGACTTCAGTCTGACTCCAGATAAAGTGAACCTGGTCTGCACTGTGTCACATGTACACATTGTCACGCTTCATGTTGGTTAAAGCTCGATTAACCTGCTACTGTCCATACAGAGAGAGTAACGTGTTTGGTTATACATAACTGATCTGCCTTGGTGTTGATCATAACACCTAACCGACACACCTCTTAGTCTACAATTACACTCATTTATCTAGAGCTGTCTAAACTTATCATTAGTTTGTCTAAATTAAAAAAAAAAATCATTATAAGCCTCATGTCAAATTTTTTCATGGAACGCACAAAAACACAATAAAAGTAGTCCATACTATAACTCTGTTCAAAAATGTAAGGGTCGGTATAGATTAAAAAAAATCTCAAATGCTCAAAAAATCTGTATCTGTAAAAGTAGTATCAGTGTGGAAAACTGATACAGTATGAAATAAGATTTCTATTTTAATATATTTTACAAATGTTAAGTTAAATTGTAGTTCATTCCAGTAACGCTTCACTTGAAGGGGTGTGCATAAGACTAACATGACGCCTTCATAATCCTGACATGACACATGTTATGAATATGAAGGAAGTTTTATGCATGTTTATGACAACTGTCATTAAGTGTAATTCACTCAATTATGACACTTTTAATGCAAATATGACATTGTTTGAGATGTCATTGTTATGACACCTTGACATAAACCAATACATCATAACCTGCCATTGTCTTTGTCATGACGACTTGACATTACTAAGACAACACAACCTGTCATAAACATGACATACATAGCAGATTAATTATCAAACTTAAGAAACCACTTAGCTTGATTGGTTAACATTACATTAAAATGTCCGTTGGTTGGTTTTGAAATTGGCTGTTATGAAGCCATTATAACATTTTAATGACAAATTCAATTTGTACCACTGTAGTTGAGGTCATGAAAAATATTCATGACACAGTTATGACAGCCAATGTCAAAACCAACCATGACAGTTTAACTTAATTTAATGTCAAGTTGTCATGACAAAGACACTGACATGTTATGGTATATTGGTTTATGTCAAGATGTCAGACCAAAGACATCTTAAACAATGTCATATTTGTATTCAAAATGTCATTATTGAGCGAAACACACTTCATGACAGTTGTCATAAACACGCATAAACCCTATTTCATATTCATGACATAATGTAATGGTTATGAAGGTGTCTTATGCACACCCCTTCAAGTAAAGTGTTACTTTATTCCTGTAATAGAAAAGCTTAATTAGATGCCATTACTTTTCAGTGTCATATGATATTTCAGAAACCTTTGTGGTATATTGATTTGGTGCTGATAATATTCTTATCAACGGTGAAAACAGATGTGCTGCTAAAAATTATTTGTGCAAACCGTGGCACGTTTTTCGTTTCAGGATTCTTTAAATGAAGAACAGCATTAACTTGAAATAGAATGCTTTTTGCAATAATTTTATAGATCTTAACTGTCACTTTTGATCAGCTAAAAGAATCCTTGCTCAATAAAAGAATTCATTTAAAAAATCGTACTAACCACAAACTTTTGAACAGTACACACGAAACCTAACCTCTTTTGAATAATCAGATTTCCATGAACACACAGTCGTACACTGCTGCTAGAACTTGTTTGGTGGTTCAAAAGATATGGGATCCAAAGCAAAACGATATATGAAGAGGGAAGTGGGGGTGCTGAGTCACAATATATCAAGCCTGGGCTTGACATCAGAGTTAGGGAAGACGGTTATTCTCTGGGGCGAGTCTATCATTTGTCAACCACTGTCTCTTGCAACTGATAGCGAATGCATCATTGGAACTACACAACCTTGACTCAAACCTTTCCCAGGGGCTGGGTTAACATTAGGGTAAATGGTGAGCCTGCGTGTCAGTTTGTGCAGTTCAGGGGTGAGAGAGGGGTGAGAATTGTTTTAAGACAGGTGTGTAGTGTATCTGCATGCATGCATAGTAGATTTAAATAAATAACAATAAATGAAATGGAAGTTGCGATAGTTTAGTCACTATTGTGATGTGCATATCCGAGTGAAACGGCTTTCTTGAACAAGGCAAAATGTAGGGCTGGACTTGATTATGCCCATAAGGAATTGATGTGATTTGCAATGTGATCGCATAAGGGATAGGTTGCCCTGCTTTTATGCCAGTAAACACGTCATCAGGAGATGCCGCTGCAAGAGGAGGGGGACTATTTTTTTTTTAATATAAGATTATGAAGGTACATGAATATTCATTTTTAAGTAATGATGTTCAAATAAATATTCAAATAAAAACAAAAATAAAAAATCGTCTTGATTTCATGGTGATTTACGAGTGTTTGAAATTAGAACTAATTTAGAAGACTGCAGTGAATGAATTTATTATAGTCAGAGTGAGACAAAGGTCACCTAGACATGCTTTTGTGAACACACAGTTGTGGATGACAGAAAGAGCCATTGATGGAGAAGCACAATGCAAAGTACACTGACAAATGTTTGAATTCTATTATAGGGCTTCTCCTCCAACTGCTTGTTTCCTTTTCGTGTTTGCATGCTCACGCTGCCCGTGGGTCAGTGCTGGGGGAGTTTAGTGACAAAGCTGTCATTGTGCTCCCAGGTTAGAGAGAGAGAAAGATTGCACAAACTATGCCTCATTCCACTTCCTCTTTCTTTTCCGGCCATGCAAACTGGTCAGCTTAGTTTATAAGACTAAAACTGACTGGTCATTTTTCAATGAGAGCACAACCTAAGTAGTCTAGTCAGATTTAAATAACCATGTAGCGTAACAGGGTTATTATAATGAACTGAAACCATTAAAAAAGTATCTGAAAGGAGATTAAACTATACAAAACTTATTTTATTTAACCCATTTGCCAAAGAAATATTTATCATTTTTATTTAGTTTGACTCGAGTTACTAAAATAACTGAAAGATATTAAAAGACAAAAAAACTAATTAAAATTAAAATATATAAAAAATATAAACTAATTAAAAGCATTAAGAAAAAATGGTTATTAAATGGTTTCTGGTTATTAAACATTAGTGGATCATGTTCATTGATGTAAATGTAATAAAGTACACACGATGGTTGAGAAAAGAGCTCTGTCATCATACAGAAGGTTTGCAGGTGCCTTTTAGTTTGAAAGGATATTTTCTATCTAGTGCAATGAAATATAAAGTTATCGAGTCTACATACCATTGACTGGTTCCTGGGAGACATCAAATGAGCATCTTAAAGGGATACTCCACTTTTTTTGGAAATAGGCTCATTTTACAACTCTCCCAGAGTTAAACAGTTGGGTTTTACTGTTTTCGATTCCATCCGGCTGATTTTCTGATATTTAGAAGAATATCAGTAACCAGACAGTTTCTGGTCTCATTGACTACCATAGTATATATTTTTTTCCTACTATGGAAGTCAATGAGACCAGAAACTGTCTGGTTACTGATATTCTTCTAAATCTCAGAAAATCAGCTGAATGGATTCGAAAACGGTAAAACTCAAATGTTTAACCCTGAGGGAGTTGTAAAATGAGCCTATTTCCCAAAAAAGTGGAGTATCCCTTTAATTCGTCTGCTTCATCAACAAAAACACACTGTCTGGGTTGGAAAATGATATTTTTTCACCTCAAGGCCTTTTATGACCACACAAAAATGTGAAGTTGCCTCCATCATCTGAGGTTTACTGGTTTCGGGCATTCCTGGTCTGTCCTTCAGAGGAAGGAACAATGAGAGTCTGTGTGATACTCATTAACATCTGGAGCAGAGGAGAGAAAAAGCCTGCGTACGCATCCAACACTTGTCAGATGACCCTGATCTGTGTGTTTCTCCACTGCAGCCAGAGCATCTGTGACTCTAGAAGAAAAGAAGACTAATGTTATGGACTTTCTCTGGATGTCCTTTTTCAATTAAGTATGAAGGTTGAAGACTAAGGTGAGACTTGTCTTTTCCTCGACGGCTTTCAGTTTTAATATCAAATATCAATTCAACTTTAACCATCATGTTGTTTAGGGAAATGATGGAATCCACAATGAACTACTTTGCTCTGCTAGTGATTTCAGCTTGTTTCATCTTGTGTACCTCTGCAAAATACCACCATCATAATCAAGGTATTGCAGTTGATATTAGAGACGTCGTGATTAATGTAAACATGATTTGAAAGCTATTACAAGAATAAAAATGTAAAAAATATATCTTCACACATTTTAACAATATTAAATTACACAATGATCTTTTTCTAGACAAGGGCAAAGAGCTAAAATACCTCATGGAGCCTCTGGTATATGCTGAGGTCACTGCTCGTCGTGGACAAACAGCTGTTTTGCCCTGCATGATGAGGCTCAAACCACAGCAGTACAGATTAAAGTGGACTAAAATCGACCCCCCTAGTCAAGGAGTGGAAAACATAGTGTTTATAACAAATGGACATGCAGATAAGCAGTATGGCTCACTGGGGCCTCGAGCGTCTCTCCTGCGTGCGCATGACCTGGATGTTTCCCTCTGTTTGACCGATCTGGAGCTTAAAGATGATGGCAGCTACCGCTGTGAACTGATCAATGGCATTGAGGATGAAAGTGTTACTATTACGCTGAGGATTGAAGGTAGGACAGGGCGATAATCGGTAATAATCTTGATTTTTATAACAACCGTAAATAATAATAATAACAAAAGTTATAAAAACATGACTACTACTACAACTACTACACTAATTTATGATTATTATTAGTAGTAGTAGTCTTGCAGTCGTTTTTCCTGTTATAAGTAGGTTTTTATTAGGATAATAATAATTAATAATATATATATATATATATTAGATCATTTATAACGCTTAAAGCTGCAGTTTTTCCTCTTTGTCGCCATCTCTGTTCGAAATCTGCAATTGCAGTGATTCGTGGAAGTATCAACTTTACGTGAGTTGTACTTCGACACGGCACAGCGTGGATGAACACAATGTTTGAGGAGACTGTGAGGCTGTTAGTCACCGCGCTGGTGTGGATACTGTCATTCAGAATCACAGATTATTCATTTTGGATGTATGACCAACATAATCATTTTCACCGGAAAATGCCATCTGAACTAGTAAGAAACATCCGCTTTTTTTCTGAGCAATTAAGGGAAAAAAAGCATTCTAAAAATCGCTTATCATATCACGCAAAACCGTGCAAATTATCTTTGTTCTCAAATTGTTAATGTTAACAACGTCAGCATTGCGTGACTACATGTAATGTCCTTCCGATATGTGTCCTTGTTTTCGCATGGGCCAGTTATGCGTATATATTGAAATATATTGTAATATATTTATTATGGTGTAATTAATTTTCCATGTATTTCAGGGGTTGTATTTCCTTATCAGAGTCACTATGGTCGGTACAGATTCACTTTCTTTGAAGCTCAAAAGGCCTGTGCTGATCAGGATGCAACACTGGCCTCTTACAAGCAGCTTTACCGGGGTAATAATAACATTTACACATTTTGATTGTTTACTTTTATGAGCACTTTTTTCACTTTTGAGCAATATTGTCCAAAGTTTCATTAAAAAGATAGTTCAGGTAAAAATTCTGTCATCATTTTTTTTTTTTTTTTCGTACTATGGAAGAAAATATCTTCTTTTGTTTTCAACAGAACTCATTCAAGTTTAGAAAAACTTAAGGGTGAGTAAATGATGACAGAATTTTTAGTATATCTTTAGTTTAGGGTCCTGTAGACCTTATTCAGAGCAGCGCCATGACAGGTATGAAAGTGAGGCTGTGAGGGATAGACTTACCGTGTTTCCAATGGCATCCGCTGTATAAAGTGGCTAGATTACTTACAATTTTCCACAGCTTACATTGGCGGGAGTTTTTTGTCAACTGACATTTCTTGGAAAGATATTTTTCCAGTGTTTCATGAGCAGAACAATCCAAAAACACATTAAATAACAGTACAGCCCATTGAAGAGATGCAAGTCTATCCCTCACAGCCTCGCTTTCATTCTCATTAAAAATCAAAGATGGCGCTGCCCTGAATAAGGCGTATTCTCATTATTTGCTGGTTTCTTATTGGCGTTCATATTAATGGGACATTGGCTATTTATAAGAATTTATGAAGTACATATTAATGCCTTATTTTGCATGACCATATAATCCTACCCAATACCTAAACTTAGCAACTACCTAATTATTACCAAGCATTAATTAGGAGATTGAGGCAAAAGCTATGGGCAAAAGTCATATAAGAATTGGACCCTAACTAAAGTGTGCCTAAATCCATTTAAGTTGACTGTTATGGGTTTACCTGTATCCATGTATGATCCTACTTTTCAGCCTGGACTGAAGGGTTGGACTGGTGCAATGCTGGATGGCTGGGCGATGGAACTGTCAATTACCCAGTCCTGCACCCACGGCCGGCTTGTGGAGGGGATCTTCTATCAGGCATCCGAAGTTATGGACCTCGTCACAAAACACGGGACCACTATGATGCTTTCTGTTTCACCTCTACCACTAAGGGTCAGTGAATAGGGAATCTGCTGTGCCTGGAATTACAATTGTATTCAGATGATGAGAACATATTTATTACCAACCCCAAACCTTTAAACAGTGGTGTATATCATTTTTTCCCAACATCTGTGTGTCTAGATCTGTGATCCTTTCCTGAAACAATAATTGTTACAATTTTCGGATAAACTGAATCAGCTTGAAGGCGTCTTTTATGGGAGAGATCTTAAACTGTTTCTGTTTAAAACAAATGGCCATTATAAACAGTTGCTGTTTGTTTCCCCAATAGACAAAAGAGACACACCCGATCAGATCTCTTGTTTTTGTCTTTAGGAAAGACTAAGTCTGTTACTCTGTAGAAAGACATTTGAGCTTTCACTATGCCCACATGAGACTGTTGAATATGGCACTGGAGACTTGAATGTCACTAATGACAGATATAGGAATTGCACCGAGAACCGACCACAGTTGTTCACTAACACATGGGGTTATTATTTCTATTTTCATCTTATAAATGTAAAAATGTGAAAATAAAAGATAAATTAAAACAAACCAAAAAAACTAACTTTTTTGCTTCCCCAGGCTCTGTTTTCTTCATTCCTGGGCAGTTGGATTTTGTCGAGGCTGAACATGCCTGCAGACGGGAGGGTGCCGGTCTAGCGAGGACTGGTCAGATTTTCTCATCTTGGAAGTTTCAGCAGCTGGACCGCTGTGATGGAGGCTGGCTGCAGGATGGTAGTGTACGATTCCCCATCATCAACCCGAGGGAGCGTTGTGGAGGGATTGCAGAGCCAGGGGTTCGGAGCTTTGGGTATCCCAGCAAAAGTTTGCGTCTTTATGGGGCTTATTGCTACAGGTAACTGGTCCAGATTTTCTTGCCAGGTAAATTTTTTGCTACAGGCTGTCTGTACTTACGGCACACACCTAAATGTGAGGTCCCTAAAAGGTGCAGAACGTATCCGTCATTTGTACGCATTTGTACTGTACGCACCACTAGAGGCTCTCTGGACTGTAGAGCTGCAGGAAAGAAAATGTATGCACTATACAGTACATAGCTTAGCATACTGGGTTACAGCTAGCACTGGGTAATAGTTAATATAATAGTTCATTTAATAAGCTTGTTTTAAAGCAGGAAATATTAGATCCTTCTGTGAAAACTTCACTTTCAAATTAAGAGTGGAATGACACAGAAAGTCTTTAGCCTATGCTTGAATAGCTGCTACTTTGAAATGTTAACTCTTTAGCTCTGACTAAGACTGTGCAGCATATTTCAGTGGCAACATGTATTAAATATATAGCACCTAAATGTTATATTGTTTAGCACCATATACTGGATGGTACCTGACGGTTGGATTTTCATTTATTTATTTATTTATTTTAACAGTCAATGAGCAAAATAGTAAGATTGCAAGATCAAATATTAAAATTTGAAATATATCTGCTAGATTAGGTTTTTTTTGTAACAGTCCCAATGTGTCATTTATAAATTACATGCACATAGTGTTTTATATTCTTCACAAATCTCAGCTACTGACGCTAGTTAGAATATTAACCAAATAGTTTTTAATTCTTAATCAAAATCAAGAAAATTCATAAACACATTTCTCATTGTAATAACTTTTTTTATTGTGATTGCTCTTTTTGCTTGGAATGTAATTCATCCATTCAGTTTCTAGAGTGATGAAATATGCCCTGTTAACAGGCTATCTAACACTAAAATATGATTTTGTTAGTGATGCATCTTCTGAAACAAAATGAGTAGTCCACTAAAAATGGCCATCCTTCAGAGTAGCCTACAGTACAGACCTGAATAACTGAGCACCAAGTTTAATGTTTTCCCATAATTAGACTCCACGTAGGTCTTGAAATCACAAACATTTGTGGATTGCATATCTACCCTGCTTTATAGAGGTATGCTGACCCAATAACTTTTTTTGTATATATTTTTTTTTTGTAGAAAAAGTTGACATTTTCATGCATTTCACTTCTAGAATATTCTAAAACCAACGTCATGAATCAGAATATTCCTGTTTATTAAGTTAGGTCACTGTTAGTCAATGAGTTGTTGATCTCAAGTTGAATCTTGGTTGGCAAGGAAAATCGAGGAAAAACACAGGAACCTCTTGTGTTTAAGAATTGATAAGCAATGCTAAAGTGCAACAACATAAAACAAAGTAATTCAGACCAGCTGATGTTAGACAGCACGTGTTCATAGGTTTATCTTATAATTTATTTTTAAAAAAAAACACAAACAAAAAGTAATGGGAGCCTGGTCCAACAGTTACGAGCTTTGTTTGGATGTTGCTTTTTATCAAGTGTGCTTTGATCTTAGAATTACAAAATGTAATTCAGTGTCATGGTCTACACAGAAAAAAAAAACATTAATGAGTCTTAAGTCGTCGGTTACAGATATTTGCCGTACTTAAACTGTTATCCGATTTTACCATTAAAAAAAAAAGTTAAGTGGGACAGATTTCTATATATAACATTGAACTTTGTAGAGTTGGTCGATGAACGCCTTAAAGGATGATAAAAGAAGAACAACATAAACAGGAGAATAAAAGAAATAATGAAATGCTATGCAGTGTGCTTGTTTCAAAAGTTCCATTTTATATCCTTATATTCAGGTGTTGTTTTTATTACAGTGTCTTCTACGACTATTTCCTTGTCCTGACCTGTGGGCCATGTTACCAGTTCTCCATTTAAGTATGCTGGTCCCACTGTGAACAAAATACATGAAATAAACACGGCACGAAAAACTTTTGGGATTCATCCTTTAATTTTGCAACACCAGTGATGCTTAGAATAATATAATATAATATAATATAAAACAAATTTTCACCTGGTGTACAAGTGATCTTAGGTTCCTCCCACTGTCCGTTGCTCTGACATGTGATGACAGGATTCTGTCTCTGGAAGAAGCCGGGCTCACAGTAGTAGCGCACCTGTGAGTTCGCCCTGTACTTTAGTTGACGACGTCCAAACATTTTAGCGTGCAGCACAAGAGGGGGCTGGCCACAGAACGCTGCTAAAGAGAAACAAACAACGATGATCTTTTGCTCTTTCTGGGCCAACGCACCCCTGTAGAAGGTGATGTACTCACCAATGCCCTTCTTGCAGGTGTAGGAAAGCTGGTAGTTACAAGGGATATCACTCCAGCGGCCATCATCATACCACACCATGACAACACAATCCTCCCCTGACAGGAAGTAGCTGTCTGGTTGTCCACGATACCAGTTCTCAAACAGCTGAGAGAGAGAGAGAGAGAGAGGAAAAACAGGGGAACAAAAATAAATAAATTGAATTAAATATTGGAACTTGCAGTTGCAGTCTAGAAAACCCTGCTTAGTGCATGTAATATATTCAACTAGTAAGATACACTTGGTTTTGTCTTTTTTTCTTTCCTTTTTTAATACAGAAAGCCAAAGTAGGCTCACCAGAGGGCTCCCATCTGACCAACGGAAATCTCCCTCGATGGTTTTGTCATTGAGACCGGTCCACTGATATTCCCTGTACTTATCTAAGGAAAGAGAAAAGCAAAGAAATGCCAAATAACCAGCATACACTGTCAGTAAGACATAACACAGACTCCAGTTTAACACCCGGATGCATCATGTATGACAAAAAAGCATGGGCTTCTTTAACACAACCCTCATTCACTGACATGAATAAGGTTACATGTTCAAAGCCCTTCAACGTTTTGATGATTGTATAGAAAGGCAGAGGAAAATGCTGGGCCCTTCAATGTTATGTCAACAAACTTGGTCCTTTATGAATATGTACTGTAAGCTAAACCGCTTCAGCAGCTTGACATACCTTTTTTTGACTCTTTATTTAAAGGGATAGTTCAATCTGAAATTAATTTTTGATATGTTTTAGCTTACCTCAAGGGCATCCAAGATGTAGATGTCTTTGTTTCCACAGTATTTTCAATTTTGATATTTTTAGGTCAAACCGTTCTTGTCTGTCAGTCATATAATGCATGCTCTTTGAGGTGGACCCTATATACCTCCATTATATGACTGACAGACAAGAACGGTTTGACCTAAAAACATCAAAATTGACAATACTGTGGAAACACCTTCATCTTGGATGCCCTTGAGGTAAGCTAAAACATATCAAAAATTAATTTCAAAGTGAACTATCCCTTTAAGCAATATCACTCAGGCAAGAGTGCTGCTTTTCTGATTCAGTCATATGGTCTCGGAAAATATTGCTTTTATGTAACAGTTCAGTAAACAAGAAGTTAGTATAGGGTAACTTACAATATTGGCATTAGCTTAGTTCCTTTTTGCTCATCATGAATATAGCTCCAAACGAAGCCAAAGCAGATTTATCCAGTGCACGTATACAAATAAACAGACTGTAATGTTTCGTTCCTGAATAAATTAGTTTTTTAACAAATTGGCGGAGTAAAAAATGCAATGACTTATAATAGAGACTTAACTTTGTTTATTGCTGATTGAATCAGTGTTTTTGAACAAATTGGTCGAACGAATGATGATTCACTTATCACTCACTATCGCGCCACCTACTGGCAGAAAGAGTTACTGAAAAATCAACACCACTTGTGAAGACTGACATCATCTACAACAGGGGTCACCAAACTTTTTTCTCTGGGGGCCACATTATCGTTCCTGACTGTGATGGGGGGCCGGGGCTATATAAAATAGAATTGTGTGACCAAGACCAAACTGACCACCAGCAGGCCTCATAGTAGAGATTACTAGCCTGGCACAGCCATATTTGTTTATCATTAATAGTTGTTTGCAAAAGTAGTAATCGAGTCTTCACACTTTGTTTTAATTTGAAATACCACAGATTTTCCATTTATTTATTTTCGAATACAAATAACATCAAACCTGTCAAGGTAAGAAACATCTGCCTAGTTGAGGTGAGTGGCACTGGTAAGGATGAATGAAAAATTATAAATTATAGGTACACTCTTAAAATGGATGTGTTAAAAACAACACAACCTGTGTTATATCTTAACACACCTGTGTGTCTAGTTAAGGACAACACATTTTGTGTTACTTTTAACTCAACCAGTGTGTTATTGTTCTCACTAAGTTTGCACTTTGAATTAGATTAAAATGTAGCAACTGACAAAATATTGTGTGTAAATAAGTTTTATTTACACTGGTGCACTCTTATAAAATGATTTTGTAAATAACACAACCTGTAAAAAGAGATGTTAAAAATTACACATGCTGTGTAGATTTTAACACATAAAGTGTGTGTGCTTAGGGACAACACATTTTGTGTAGATTTTAACACATGCTGTGTAGATTTTAACACATGTAGTGTGTGTGCTCAGGGACAACACATTTTGTGTAGATTTTAACACATGCTGTGTAGATTTTAACCCGTTTTGTAGATTTTAACACATCTAGTGTGTTTGCTTAAGGACAACACATGTTGTGTCAAATTTAACACACAACCTGTGTTGTTTCTTTACACATCTCTGTGTTTATAAGGATTACACATTTTGTGTTACATTTAACACAACTAATGTGTTACACAGCAGCAGTGTGTTGTTGAAACCTTTTACACACTAATGTGTTATAGTAACACAACTTGTGTCAGATATGCGTCACATGTGACTGTAGTCGGAGAGTATTTGCCAGAGTTACTTCCCGTGTGCTTACAAAAGTGTTTGGATGAACACTGACACGTATTGGTAACTTGTGTTTATGTAGTCCAGTGATGTTTAATAGAGTTTGTTTGAACATTTGGATGTTTTAAACATCATTAATCTACATAGACAAGCTCTTATTGAGAATTAATAGAGGTTTGATGTTTCATTTCAGTTTTATTTCAAGTCACCAGAATCGTGATTAATGGCTCCTTTATTTGGGCTCTTGACCCTTTACTCTTCTTTTAGTGTTTCTCTGCCTGCTGTAACTGTATTTTAATCAAATATATCTGTTATGGTGAGAGAAAATATGATCAGAAGGTTCTTGATGATGTCATAATCAGCCAGTTGTGATCAAGTTTTTGAGTATATGGATGGTGTGCTTTATTTTAATGATTTATTGTTAATTCTGAAAGTTTTGTGAAACTACATCCAGCAATCAAAAAGTGC